TCTTTGTGGAACCTAATGATTATAAACATTGAGACAGAGAGCATCTGACCACACATCTTTAGACTTGAAGCGGGTGGGGAATATAAAATTTGTTGCTCATTGCAAGTTCCAATAATTCTTTTGAGTAATAAATACAATATATTGAGTCCAATTATGTGTGCCAAACTTACTCTAAATGTTTTGATAAAAAGCTTTATCTTGATAATTTTTATCGATTTTAAAGTCTAAAGAGTTTCAGAAGGGAATAGAAAAAGTATTAAAGGATATTCGTAAGAAGTGTATGCCATAGCAGTGACAATATGAGCAGCTTCTTGCTGGGGATGGTAAGACAAATGGGCTATAGATAGATCTGCTGCTGGCAAAGTGTCATGGTTCATTGTATCAATTTTACTGCAGAAAGTGAACATATTCAAACTAAAATAGAAATCTTCAGTGATTATACTGAAGAATTTGGAGGAATATCCTTTTGTAAAGTTGAGTAGACTATCCTGAGGTGACAAAGTATTCTTGGGAAGACCTTATGACTACCGTAGAAAGATAGGAAGAGAATTTCAAATATGTTAATTTATCAACTTCAGTACAGAAAGCTGTCTTCTGCCGTGGTATTTATTTCTAAGAGAATTTTAGATAGTGAAAACAGAAATTCGAGAATCATATGCGCATTACATAATATGCTAATTGAGACTTTTACAAACTTGGGTTCACTTACTAAAAGTGCTGATTATATTGGATGTATGGTTGTATTCACCCATGCATTTATGAAGCCCCACTTCATTTAAGGTAATGAAGTATAATGGAAAGTTCACGAGCGCTGTGTGATGGTTGGATGACCTTGAGTAAATTTCTTGTGCTTTTGGAGCCTTAGTTTTCTGCTTTGTTTAAAAGCACAGGAAAAATACCAGATTATAGATGGAAAGGATTAAATGATATATGTAAAAGTACTTGAAACAGCCTTTAAATTAGCACAAGCCTTCAGTTAGTATTAGTCTCTGTTCTTTTCTTTTCAATCTGTACCTGAGATTGCCTCCATGTTTACTAACTTCTGTTAGCAAGTAGCAAAGCTGATTTATAGTCTTTCTCTGCATGTGGCCCCTCTTTGGTGGTCCTTCTTGTTCCCACAGTGCCCTCTGGTTTCCACAAAGATTAAGCATAGCTTGTTGTGTGGTGATTTATACAGCAACCAAGTGAAGAGGCTTTCTTAGAAGTTTACATGGGAAAGTTAGGTACTTGCCTGCTTGTCTAAAGGAAGAGATCCCCAAGTTCTCAAGTCTCAAGACTTGAGTTCTCAAGACATTCTCAAAGAATATTCCATGGGACACATTCTGTTTAACTCAGCATGGCCACTGCTTCCTTACAGCCTTCCTACACCTAGCTAGCAGTGCATATTCTGTTAAACATATTAAAGTGTTATTTCTAAAGCACCAAGTTTTCTAATGGTTTCGATGAAGACAGCTCTCCCCTTGCCACCATCACTTTTATGATGGTGAGTTGGTAGTTTTACAGTTTTTATCGTCTTCTTTTCATTTATTTGTTTAAGCTTCTCTTCTTATCTAAGTGATCTGCTTGCTTGGTCTCCTCAGTTTTTCCCCTCAAAATAGCAAGAGTTTGTTGCATAACATCATTTCACCTTGTGCATCTAGTGAATGCTCAACTCATTTTCCTATTAAATTTTTTTTTTTTTTGGTGAGCAAGACTGACCCTGAGCTAACATCTCAATCTTCTTCTTTTTGCTTGAGGAAGATTGTTCCTGAGCTAACATCTGTGTCAGTCTTCCTCTATTTTGTATGTGGGATGCCGCCACAGCATGGCTTTGATGAGCAACGTGTAGGTCTGCTCCAGAGATCTGAACCCACGAACCCTAGGCCACTGAAGCAGAGTGTGTGAACTTAACCACTATGCCATTGGGCTGGCCCCTTATTGCAATTCTCTGTGGAATGAATGCTGTTTTCAGAGGGACGGGTTTCCTGCAGTTGGCTCCCTTGCACAGGCTGCTTTCCATATCGTGGCAGGAGCAAGTCTACATTTTTGCTGTTGTTAGAGCCTCCCTCCTCTGCCCCTTAAGTACACTCAGCTCGTGCTGCTGTTACAGAGCGGGCCTTTTTAAGTGGCAGTCATCTGTTTATGTGTCTCTCATACCAAGTGGGCTGTGAGCTCTTTGAGTCCAGGGACTCCCATCTTGTTTCCTGTTCACCTTTGCATCTCTCTTGCATGACAGCATCTGGCACATGGTTGGCGCTTAATAAATCCTGAGTGAATTTATTCTACAAGGATTTGTTCTGACTTAGCTTCGTGCATTGCTTAATGACCTAAAACTTGTTTGGGGGCATAACTTAGTGTTTGGGGCTTGGTTTGTCATGTATACGATTGTAATTGGAGTGTGTAGTTGCATCCTTTCCTAAAGCTGATTTTCTTAATCTCCTTTTATGTGATATCCTATTTGAATAGCTTCTGTATTCGTATGAGGATTATATATTTTCACTAATTAGTAAAAGTATTAAAAGAAGAGCCCTTTGGGACGGTTGATCTGCCCACTTCTACCCTTAGGTTCTAGAGAATCTATTCCAGTGTTTTCTATCTGTTAGTTTTGTATCTGCTCTAAATTCAGTTCAGTAATCACATTACTGGTATAGGAGTGTCATCTATGTACCCAGATTAGGAAGACTGTTAAGGCATCCAGTCTGTGGGAGGTAGGGTAACATCATACTGTGGTAGACATGCAGAGGCTGCCCCACACAGACCTGTAGAGGGAGTGAAGGCCTGGGGAGGTGGTCATGGAAGGCTCCAGGGAGGAGTGATTCTTGAGGACCTAAGAAATACATGGAGATTAGCAGGCAAAGGGGAAGAGGGCTTTTCTGTCAGAGAAGAGGCAAGAGCAAAGGTAAGGCGTGAAGAGCAGTGTGCTTTGAGCGTGGAGCTGGGCGAGATTGCTTGGAGTCAGGGAATGTAGAGTGATGACGGCTGGGCACCCAGCTGGAATCGGGGCCCAGCTCAGAGACCGTGAAAGCCATGGTGTTAGATGCCCAGACATTATCCTGTCGGTTGGAGGAAGCAGCTTCTATGTCAACACTGCTTACTTGTGTTGGTTTCTGGCCAAGATTCCTATAGTGGAGTGATTAAGGGCATGGACTTTTGAGTCGAACTGCCTGGGTTTGAGTCCTGACTCTGCCACTTAATTGCTGTGTAACTTTGAGAAACTGTTCTCAGTTTCCTCATCAATGCAGAGATAATAGTAGTACCTTCTTCATTAAAACTGTTACAGAGATTAAATAAGGTCATGTTCTATGATGCATAGACTGGTGGCTGGCACTTGGTGGCATTTGTTTGTTAAACTAAAACACATTGCCATGGTTAAATAGACAGTCACATTGTGATTAGTCTCTGCTAGGCCCCAGATCAGTTAGCACCTTGTAAAACGCAAGCTTTATTTTCAAAATCAGTTTATTTTTGAAATTGTTTATTTGTTACGTGATCTGCCTTTGTGTTTCTTTCTTTTTTTTTTTTTTAATCTTTTGAAAACACAAAATGGCTTTATTGGCTCACTCTTTCTCCCTTTTAAACTGAAGGGATATGGAGTTTCTTAGAAATTGTAAGCTTTAGGCTTCAGGCTGCAGGGGGTATTAGACGTATGGAATGAGACTGGAAGCTGTTGGTGATGGTGTTAGGTCTTTCCATCTGCTGCACAGGAATGATTGAGAGAAGGAGTCTAGAGAGACTGTCTGAGGTTCTTGAGCCAGTAATTTAATCTAGGCTAACACAGAACAGACTTTACTTTCCGATACTTAGATCTGGAAATAATGATCTTAGGCCTTCACTGCTGCACAGCTTATTATCACACACAGAGATTTTGAAATGAGTTCATCTTACTGTTATTTCAAGGTATCTACCCTGTAAAAAATTTATGTGGCTTTTGTAGCCTTGAGTTAGTTGAAAAATAGTCTAGAAATACTAGCTTCCAGGGCCCTCAAGGAGTTGCTGATCTTTTCCAGTAGAATATTCTGGAATCTTTATACCATCAATCTTTGACAACTAACTCATTGAAAATATCCCTGAAACTGCACTTTGTTGCTAGCTGATTATAGACTAGAATACTGATGGCACTTAAAACATTTGTTTTTATTTTTATTTTTAAAAAGTATGTCAATTAGGATTATTTTGGCAAGAAAATTGTTTAAAAATATTCTCTTTTTCATAAACAGAATATTGGAAAGCCTAGCAATTCATGTTTTTTTGTTATCAAAATAGAACCATTTGATATGATACAATATAAAACTAAACAGAGAAGGCCATCAGTTCCTTTTTAAAATTACTTCTTACAAAAATATTGCTCTTGAATTCTTGATTTCTCTGTTTTCTATCCCTTTAGGATGGGTCTGCGCTGTAATTAGTGAAGATAATGTCTGTCTTTAGGCAACAGCCTAATCTCTAAGGCCATATGTGCAAAAGCAATGTAATTACAGCATAGTATTAATTGGACCATGTGACTGTTTTTGTTTTAATTATTTGAAATCATCTTATCTTTCCATTCCTTAAAGCATATTAATGGGTGAATCCTTGGGTACTATGTTTGTGTCATTTCTATGGAATTAAATATGTGCACATTTACATAAGCTTGGTAAAAAATTCTTCTTTTAATGATGTTATGAGTAGATTTTTTTTTTTTCTGTCTCCAACATCAGTTCAGGCCTGAGGAAAATAAATGTTTTAAACAATTGATTCTTTCCATTTTGCTTAATTTATAGAACACAGATTGGATTGTAGATGTCTCTGGCTGAGGAGGTATCACTCTGGGTTGACATCATAGGTTTGTTAGAAATTTTCAGATTTATTTCTCAATGAGTTAGGGATTTCCATACCTTTATGCGCATTCTGTTTAAATAATTTGGTAGGAAATTTAATGATGGGTACCCATTTTCACTAAATACAAGTGCTTGGCAAACTGTATGTGGAAGCTGGCATTTACCTGTGTTCAGATTTTAACTTTTGTCTCCCTATTTTTTCAGTTGTTTTTATTTCAGTTGCTGCGAGGGCTGTCTTACATCCACCAGCGTTACATTTTGCACAGAGACCTGAAACCACAGAACCTTCTGATCAGTGACACGGGGGAGTTAAAGCTGGCAGATTTCGGTAGGAAAGCAGTTAATTACCAGTCTATTTTGTCACACTGTGAGAATGCCAGGCAGATGGTGGCACTGCATTTGTTTAGGTGCACTTCTATCGTTATAGAACACGGTAAAATTTTTTCAGGAGTCAAGAAATTTTCTTTTTTTAATGATCAAGATCATGCTTGGTGGATTTTTAAAAATTCAGACTGCTCGTTGGCATCTTAAATAATCTTAAGTATAAATCAGATCTCATATATCTCCAAAAGAAAGGTCAGCAAAACTTTGAGCATAAAATATATTGAAAGAAACCTAATTTGTCTTCATTTTTTGTATTATGAAAATGTCAAACACATTCAAAAGTGGAAGGATAGTATAATGAACCCCCATTATCCATCACCCAGCTTCAGCAGTTATCAATATGTTGTCAAACTTGAAGAAATCTCACTTTAAGCCTCTGGACTTTTTCAGGGCATCATAAAATATATTCAATGGTATATGTTGCCCTAAGATTTTAATAATTAAAAAATCTGGGGGCGGTGTTAACCTTTCTGAAAGTGACTGTTGTTTCAACAATTCTTAATAACTTTACAAAAGTAGATATCTATTCTGATTTAAAAGTTGAGGTCCTAGCCTGGACCCATTATAAGTCATCCCTTCCTTAAAAGTTTTAGGCTTGACCTATTCTAGCTTAGAAACTTTCCTCTAAACCCTGTCTTAAGCTCCCAAAGGAGAACAAAACTGTTGTATCATCCTTGCTAGCCCGCCTCTCTCCCTCAAGTCTGACATTTCTGCGTTGCCCTGGCTGTCTGTCATGCCAGAGACTGTGCTGAGTTGATTCCCAGCACCAGGGAATGCTGCTGACAGCATGATGTGTTGACATTGCATTGCCTCAATTATTTTTGAATACATATTCTGATTAGAAATTTGTTCCATTAAGAGTGGAATGGAAATATTACCCTTGGGACATGAAGATGCCTGAGGTTGAGATGTGGGCTTTTGCTGAAATATGATTATCTTTTTCCACCTTATCCCTTAATAAGTAAAAGAGAGCAGGAAATGTTTCTTTCTTATTTCAAGGTTAGTAGACTGTTCAGTATCTTTGGGATGAATCTGCTTTGTGGAGTTTTGTATATTCTTTTCTCCTAAAAGTGAAATAAAACAAAAGTTAGCATGATTAGTGATATGTTGCAAAACTTTGTCAGTTGTTCCCATCTAGTTTGGTAGAAATAATGAAACTCTGTGTGTGTGTGTGTTGTTTATTGCCAGATTTTAGCATAGAATAATCCTAGGTGGCTAAATGTGAAGTCTTTTCTATTACAGGGTAGGAAATGATGGGAGAGTAGGTGGGCAGAGGAGTGAAGATTTGCAGTTCCTCAAACTTGAGATTATTGGGTTTGCCACGAACTTATTTTGTAGTTTGTTAATATCAGTAAATTAATAAGGATTTATAGTGATTTTCTTCTGGTGTGTTAATACTATACTATAAAGTATATGTTTCAATAAATTATTGTATTGAACAGTTAATTTTATTGAACATGGTTTTCTTGTATATTTATAAAATACATTTTTACAAAATTAATTTTGTCTATATAATCAAAGGCATAATAGGATTGTATATAATTGCTTACTGGGGATTATTTTTTAATTTTATGATGATGTTTTTATTATAATAGGTAAGTTCATTTTAAAAGATTCTTATGGATCTTTAACACTGACATTTTATAGTATCAGGTTCGAAATAAATTGAAATTTAATTTTAAAAAACTTAGAAAGTTGTTTAGAAAATTAGAAACTTTAGAAAGTATGAACAACTCAGAGATAAGAAATGTTAACATTTTTGTTATATACAACAAGGTACTTCTCAGTACCTTTCTCCTCCTCCTCCTCTCTCTTTTTGCTTCTTACACCTATTATATATCCTGAAGAAAAGAAACATATTGTCTTGTAAACAGTTTTCACTGAAGAATGTGTCATGAACATTTTCTGATGTTATTAAATATGAAAAAATCGTTTGTAACAGCTTAGATTTTTCCTTTAATGGCCCAAATCTAGTCTCTTTATTCAATCCTTTATCAATTAAAATTTTAGTTCTTTCTAATTATTCACTGTTATGTACAGTCCTGTACTGAACATCCTTATAGAGAAAGCTGTATCTGCTGCAATTGTAATGTTCAGTGTTTTAAAGCATTTGATTCTTCAGACCAGACTGCGATACAGAAAGGTTGTGCCGTGCACCTCCCCTCAGTGTCATGGACTGAATCTTCTTGCCTGGAACACACACTTGGTGTGCATCCTGTGCACGAGGTGTAATGAGCGAGACTCATTCACCAACTGACAATTTCCCCCAATTAATTGTGCATTATTTTTATCTTTTAATGTAAGACATGCAGTTAACTGTGAATTACTGCACTTGGGCACGTGTTTGTGTCTGAGATGAAGGGAACACAGTGGAAGCTGGGGAGAAGCTAGACAGTCACAATGGGATGGTTCCAGGCAGCAGAACAATCACAAAAACTAGGTATTAATTCTGAGCGTGATATATAAAGAGCTTTAGAAACAGTTCCTTTGTTCTATCTTTTTCTCTTATGGGAAAATGACCATAAAATTTTAATTAAAGGAGACAAATGAAATCTGTATGGTTATTGTTCCCATATTGTAAATGCTATTATCTTTATTAGAAACATATTTGGAGGAAGAAGGAGAAATACTAAAATTTAGTGAGTTCATTCTATGTGCCAGATGCTTAGATATTTTTGTTTCATTGTCTTTTCAGCCTAGTAAGGTATAATAGCTTCTAGTTTTGAGAGAGAGAGAGACAAGAGATTCAAAGAGGGTTAGAGACTTGCCCAGGCTCGATCACATAGGGAGTTGGTTACAAAGCTATAATTCAGATGCTTGATCCATACCCTTCAATCTCAGGTGGCCTGGGGTCTTTATATTTATACGTGTAGATATTTTACCTTACAGAGCTGCCTAATCTTCAGGTAAATTATTGATCATTATATATATATAAATATATATATACACACATATACATATATATATTTGCCGTTTCCTACATACCACAAATATGATACCAATGCTGTGAAAATAGATTGCACTAATACCAAAAATTACATCCCGTAATTTAAAGAATATTTTATCATTTGACTAATTCAGTAGTAATGAGTGAGTTCAAACTCAGTACTTCGGAGATTTTACCTGCTGGACAAGGTAAACCAGATGATAATGTATTTGTAGACCCATTCAGATTCAAACAGAATGCAGTTCTGAAGTTGAGGTGGTGAAAATGCTGTAACTTTTCTTTTTCTTGTAAACAAGTCATATTTAAGCACTTACCTCAGCCTTATTTTCTATATGCGTTTTGAATAAGTAAATTACACATGATTTAGAATCTCTGTGGCTTTACTAATGCAAAAGTTTGTCCTGTCTGTATATAGTAAAATAATAAAATTGTGTAGAGGCATTCAGACTCATTTCTAAAAAAGGGTTCATCTTTACATTATCTTTGGGAAAAAAATATTTCAAATCCCTTATCCAGCCTAGGTCTTCCCCACCTTGCTCCTCCAAGCCTGCTGTGGTACAACCACACCCCAAACTTCTCCCCACATCCGAGCCTCTTACTTAGTCTTTCATTTGCCTGGAGTACTCTTCCTCCTGCTTCTCACCTGGCTACCTCTTTCTCATCATACAGATCATAGATTATGTGTTACCTGTTCAAAGAGGCCACCTTTCCAAAAATAGAACCTTTGTCGTTACTATCATCCACTTTAACTTCTTCAATAACACTGATAGTGCACTGAAATTATTTTTTTCATTGGTTTATCTGTTTATTTTTTGCTTCCACTGCTTGATTGTAAGTTCTGTGAGGGTAGGGATGTGGCCTGTCTTGCTCACTTGTTTCTGTGCTGTGTCTAGAATCATGCTTATTTGTTATGGTGATCTGTGTTCAGGCATCTTTGATGTTCTGGTTGTAACTGTTTTCAGGTACCACAAACCACAGCGAACTTAATCAATAAATGCTGTGTGTGTTCTGACTGCTCCACCAACCAGCCGTTCCCTATCTCTCTCCCTCTCCCTGGGCCTCTCTATCCCTTGAGACACAACAGTATTGAAATCAGGCCAATTAACAACCCTACAATGGCCTCTAAGTGTTCAAGTAAAAGGAATATTTGCATGTCTCTCACTTTAAATAAAATGCTAGAAATGATTAAGCTTAGTGAGGAAGGCGTGTTGAAAGTTGAGATAGGTGGAAAGCTAGGTGTCTTGCACCCAAAAGCCAAGTTGTGAATGCAAAGGAAAAGTTCTTGAAGGAAATTAAAAGTACTACTCCAGTGAAGACATGAATGATAAGAAAGCGAAACAGCCTTACTGCTGATATGGAGACAGTTTTAGTGGTCTGGCTAGAAGACCAAACCAGCCACAACGTTTCCTTAAGTCAAAGCCTAATCCACAGCAAGGCCCTAACTCTCTTCGATTCTCTGAAGGCTGAGAGACGGGAGGAAGCTGCAGAAGAAAAGTTTGAAGCTAACAGAGTTTGTTTCATGAGATTTAGTGAAAGAAGCCATCTCTATAACATAAAAGTGCAAGGTGAAGCAGCAAGTGCTAATCTAGAAGCTGCAGCAAGTTCTCCAGAAGATCTAACTAAGATCATTAATGAAGTTGCCTACACTAAGCAACAGATTTTCAATGTAGATGAAACAGCCTTGTATTGGAAGAAGACGTCATCCAGGACTTTCATAGCTAGAGAGGAGAAGTCAATGCCTGGCTTCAAACTTTCAAAGGACAGCTTGTTAGGGACTGATGCAGCTAGTGACTTTAAGTTGAAGCCAGTGCTCATGGACCATTCTGAAAATCCTAGGGCCCTTAAGAATTATGCTAAATCTCCTCCGCCTGCACTCTGTAAATGAAGCAACAAAGCCTGGATGCCGGCACAACTGTTTACAACATGGTTTACTGAATATTTTAAGCCCACAGTTGAGACCTGCTGCTCAGAAAAAAAGATTCTTTTCAAAATGTTAC